TTTTCAGATAACCAAACAATTCCATGAACTTCAAGGAAATTTTACTGATTAGCCAATGATTAGAGATGGCGAAGTGGCAGACAGGGTCTAGGGTCTGAGTTTTGCTAGGACTATCCCTGAGTGGTGTGGTGTGCCTGCTATCACCAGGAAAGTGATGTTCACGGGAAAGTGAGATTCCAGGAGCCAGAGGGCTCTTTCCCTTCTTTCCTAATTTATGTGTGGTCAGATCTGATCCAGCTCAGGTAGGTGGGTTCTTTATCATATAGAGATTGTCACGACCTCCAAGTCATCTGGAGGGTCAGTGTGGCCTACAGATCTGATCAGACCGGCCTGCAGAATCTGGAACTTTCCAGCTGTGAGCTTCCCAGCACGAAGCTGAGTATATATGAGACCACAGAAACATAATAATAATAATAAAATAAAATATATACAGAGACTTCGCTTCCATGCCTTTCCATAAGCCTCAAGGCCCCTGACAGGGCTGCCCTCTTCCCACCTGTCCGTCTTTTTACATTTATTGATGAATAATGTCCAGGGTTTTGAGTTGTGCTTAGCAGAAGGGAAAAAATATCCCTTCCACTAGTCCAACTTCTTGCAAAAATTCAAAAATACAATATTTTAAACACTAAGCTTGTTCCATTTCAGATTATTACAATTGATTTTTGAAATACCAAAAGTCTTTAGTTTCTTTTTATCTATTAGCTTCTAAATGAATTTCTGAAATATACAATCATAATTTGATTTTTGGACACACACAACTTTTAATCTGATTTAATTCTTGAGAGAAAAATATCATTTCCTTTTGGTCAGTAATAACATCAACATGATATGTAATTCCCTACCAGGTGAGTCAGCTGTGAAAGAATCATATTAGCTGTATGAGGGTGAAAAGATGAATAAAAGTAAACAGATTTAGACTTAGCACTGCTTTGAATACCAAGGACTAAAACAACTGGAATAATTTGTTTTTTCACAAGTGGATAATTATGTGCTCACTTAATAGAATGCCACATGTACTTTCCATTATTATTCTAGCCTTGTTAAATAAGGAATGAAGTAAAAGTCATTTCATTTTAAATACAGAAATTCAAACCCAAACAACAGTGCGAGTCTTTAGTCTCTGCTTTGTGCCTATTACTTCTCTTGAAGTAGACTGTGCCCCTCTGAGTGGGGCACCTCCTTCTCCCTGAATGAAATCCATGTCTTCCAGCTCTGTTCTAAACTCTGCTTGGAAGAGGGCCTACCTAATCCTGCTTTGCCTTCTCCATCCTCTCCTAGAGCCTTTCTTTCTCTTGGGGTCAATCTCAAAAGTATCCTGGGTTCAATCCCCAGTACCACAAAGAGAAAAGGAAGAAGAAATCACCAACCTAACCTTTCCTCTGGAAAGGATTACCACTCTCTGGGGAATGTGACACTTGATTCAGTCTCAAAGGATGAGTTAGGTTACTACATGTGCAGGGCTGTGGGGCCCAGGGAAGGAGGAGGAGGAGGGCATTAGCCTTTCTTGTTTGCAGAATGAGGAAATGAGAGGAGGAAAACCACCAGATATTTTCCAGGAAATGACCAGCAACTGACAACAGCCCCATCAGCTCTGGCTAAAAGTGGCGGTAAATGACACAAGCAAAGAAGCTGAACATCACTTCAGGAAGGATTTGTGCTCCATGAAAAAAAGTATATTTTTGAAGGACATATGGTACAGAAAAGTGGCCTAGATTTGTGACTTGGTATATACTCAGAGCCCTCTGACGATGACCCTAATCTGCCTTCATGGTTTTGATTCCCACTGTACTGGTACAAAGACCCCAAACTTTAAGCTAGTGAATCCTCCCCATCAGAGGATCTCACTCTGGGAGAGCAAGTCTGTTTACCTCTCATCCACAAACTATGCATAAGTTTCTCTCAGAGAGGGTTTTGGGAATTAATGTACCAGTACATGAAAACACCCAGCTTCCTGTGTGTCGTTTAGTGCACATACAATTTTCTTCTTCCTGATAACTTACCTAAATCTTTACATTACAGTTGCATATGTATCCCTGCTATGAGATGGCAGATCAAAGCCAGGACTGTGCCTAAAACAGTGGCTTTGAGGAGGGACAATTTTGTCCTTTGAGAGGCATATATCTAGAGACATTCTTAATTGCTTCAGTTGCTGACTGTTTTGATTGTAGGATGATGCCGGTTGTCATATTAAAACACCAACAGCCTTCACAAAGCACTACCCAACCCAATTGCCAATGTGCAGAAGTTCAAAAGGCCTGGTTGAGTTAACATGTGCAGTTCAGGCAATAAGCAGAGTTGTACAGGGCAGGAAACTTTCACAAGTGTTTGAAATGACTTGAAACCTCTCTTCTACATTTAAATTTTACCAATAGCTATTGAGAATTTAAAATCAAATTGGAAATTTTTATTGTGTGAAGAAATTGAATGATAGCAAAGTTTCTGAACCTTGATCAATTTGGGGAAAAACAAGTTTCCATTTAAATTTAGAGGTGACCAATTTAAAAGCTAAAGTTCTCTCTATCAGCAAGCTTTTGTAATGAAATGCGGCAGGATTTACTTTTATATCAAAGGAGCTCCCCTGGTACTTAAAGAATGCAGCTGAATACAATTAAAAGATCACTGATAAGTAGAATGCACTTCCTTAGCTACATTTAGGAGGAGTACACTTAATAATCTAGAATCTAGTGACACTTTAATGAGGAATTTAACTAACTGACCCTGAATCTCAAAATTTATCAATACTTTTTGCTTAGATTTTCATTTCCAAGTAATGAAGTAATGAGGTGGAGTGAAAAGTTTGTCATTAGGGAAGAATGATTTTATAAACAGTTAAAAAACAAGCCAGGGGTTTAGCTCAGTGGTTCCACCATCTGCCTGGGAAGTGCAAAGTCCTGAGTTCAATCCCTGGTTTCAAAAAAAAATTTTTTAAGCAAGTACTGAGAATGGAAAAGTTAAAACTATTGATAAACTGGTAACATGTTAGCATGCATAATAAGGATTTAGTATGGAGGCAGGAATGGTGGTATAGGGAAGGGATTCAACCAAGCCCTCACTTCCTCCATTAGCACTGCCAGGTCCAAGTGCCAGTGAGAAAATTCCCAAGGGACTGATATACCCAGGGAATTGCGAGTTTCCATGGCTCCAGGTGGACAAGAGAGTAAGCATTGAAAATGCTCAAATCACTGCAAGACTTTTATCATCTTTGCTAAAGCTAAAAAAAAAAAAAAAAAAAAAAAAAAA